TATTAGAATTTAATAATAAATAAATAAAAAACATTAATTTTTTCTTAATAACCTTGAAACCTTTTTTAAGTTTGACAGTCTTCATGGTAAATTTGATTATTCTTTTTTTTTCGTGTACAAAATAGTGAATTGACCTTGAATGAAATGTATAATTAATTATTCTCACAGCAATATTTAATAATTTAATGAACTTAACTGCACTGCATAATAGTTGAGAGTAGTAAGAGTAAGTGAAACGGTAAGATAAGTGAACGACCATTAGTGTGAGAGAGAGAGAATAACTTGTGGTTTTCGAGTAGGCATCTACTTTATGTGCACGGCATTCATTTTTCGAAAGAACTGGACTGAGTACTATTTGTTCAATATTCTCTTCTATTATTGACTTGTGTTTTGTACACTGCCGCGTTCTTTTAACAATTACATGAGAAATCAATTTCTCATTCCAATTTTTTATACTCTTATTCCCTCTTAGACTATATAAACAGTCTTGTTTAAGCTGATGAATGGGATAACTTGTGTTGAGTCCCAAACTGTTCAGCTATGAAACTTCTAATACTATAGTGTGTACCTGTCACATATTATTCTATAAAGGAGTACTACACTGACTGCATAAATCATTTTTCCATTTTTCTCCATGTAAATATGTAAAATTCTCCAAAAATCATTGCGCAGATTCAGCATTACATGTCTTAAAAATATTGCATCTTAATTTTATAAGACTTCCTTTCTATGTCATAAAAGACTTTCTTTTTACTGTGAATAAAGCTAAATGTGAAAATAATTTTCTAAATTATTTCATTCGAATGTTAAAAGTAAATTGGAATCAAACTATTATTTCACAGTCCCACATATAAAGACCTGTTGAAAAAGACTTTGTATAACTTCGAAACCGTGAAGCCGGAACTTTCGCTTCATAAATTCAGTTACACTTCTTTTTCCCCGCGATTGTTTTCGAGCTAGAACTGAGTGTATATATATAGTTAGATATTAATGTTTAAAAGAACTAAAATCCTGCCCCTTTGGAAGGCATTAAATAGGAATTTCATTTCTATATGAATTCGGTCACGTACATAATATAATTTCACTTTTCCTCTGGCACTTGAATGTCGGGGGAGGTCATCCATGTGCATCGCGTCGGAAACAGAATCCTGATTACAATGTTCCGTGCGAGAAGAGAATCTTTCTTGTTATAGAAGCAAGCGCGAATAAACTATTGTATACAGATTATAGTCAGTGCATAACCATATCGAATATTGTACGTTTGCTTGACATAGGTTTTATGTACATATCAATTATTTAAATATGCGGTCGAGAAAAATGTCTCTCCTACAATGGGTTGTTAAAGGCGTAGCAGCAGAGACAGTTATTGATGAATAATATATAAGAGACACAATCTTGTTGTTTTTTCCCTTTTTAATCGTGTAGGAAAGCTTCCGCGATGTGACAGTTGTGTGACTGCTGATACATTTTAACAGTTGAGTTTCAAACGTGCCTTTTATTTATGTTTAACAGAATCTTATTTAATATTTAATTATATAGAAAATATCTACTCCTTTGATTCAGAAATAATATTTGTTTGAATAAAAATGATTAATTCAAACATATTTTCTGTTTTGGTTTAAACGAAAAATATGTTTAAAAATGTTATGTTTGATTCAAACTTAAAAGTTGATTATAAATAATTTAAAATCAACCATAAATTATATTTGAATTAAATATATTATTTCCTTAAAAGTACTAAAAAATATATTTGACTTAAACTTAAATATGTTTGACTGTATAACAAAAATATTTTAAGTTTGATTTAAACAAAATTTGTTTGAATCAAATAAATCGTTTTCTCAGTGTAAGATCTCATAGATAATTCAAATAGGGCCAAAATGGGACCCTTTTATGTTGACGTACATTTATTATTCTGCAAATAACACAGACCTGCAAAATTCGACTCTTTTTTTATTTTTGATACTGAAGTGGTTTCCAATGTATTTTTGTCCCCTAAGATCGATCCCGGGTCCGAGAATTAACTATCACGTCGAGATTTTAAAAAAATGGGGGTAAAGACTAAACACCCAAAAACTTTGTGTTGATGAGTTTTTACATCCACTTTTATCAAAATCCTGACGTGCTAGGCAATATTAGGACCCAGAATTTTTCTTTTTTATCAAAATGTCTAGTCAATCCACTACAAAATTATCCAGAATTTGTGGCATTTAAAAATTCGTGACATTTGAAATTTTTTGAAACTTCCAATTCTATAAATTGATAATTTGAACAAATGACAATTCAGGAAAGTGGAATTCTGACATTGAATATGTTTACAGTCGTAATGTTGCTAAATTGAAAATTTTACAAACTAAAATTTGTCTTTTTAAAAGTTCTATTGAGTGATTATATTTGTCTCAAACTATTTTTGGTTATTGTAACTATATTTACAATGTTAAAGAATTTTAGTTTGCAAACTGCAGAATTTTAGTTCAAATAACTATAATTTTATTTGAAATAAGTAAAATTATGGTTGGAGTAACCAATATTCTGTTTAGATTGACTAGAATTCCGGTTAATGTAACTAATAAATTTACAATATTAAAGAATTCTAGTTTGAAAAATGCAGAATTTTTAGTTACGTTTTTTGGTTATTCCAACTTGAATTTTTTTCAGTACCCTAAAAAAAAGTCTTGTTAAAATAACTTAAAATGTGGTTATTCTAACCAGAATAAAACGTGAAATATACCCTTTTTGGTATCAATTTGATCCAGTTTGATATCAATTTGATACTTTCAAGAAATCTGTGACTTTTTCTGGTTAAAAGTATTAGAAATTCTGGTTAAAAATTTCTTGTAAATTTAACTACAATTTTTTGTGAACATAGTAGAATTTTTCTGTTAAAAAAAAATTTCTGATTATTTTTTAAAACAGTGTATCCTTATTAATCTTATCAGAAATTCTGGTTCAAAAAGATCACTGAATAAACACTTTATGTTTCTCTAGTCTCATTAACCATAAATATTTATTTAGTTTAACTAAAAATTTATAAACCAGATGCCAGTAACTTTAACCAGTGCTTTTTTTGGGGGTTCAGTATATTATTCTGAATTTTAGTTTGTAAAAAGTAAATATTTAGTTAGAATAATCAAAATTTTTGTTTAATCGAATAGAATTCTGGTGGAATTAATTAAAATTCTGATTAGTGTAACTAAAATTACAATGTTAAAGAATTCTATAATTTGTAAAAACCAGAATTTTTGGGTAAAATTACTATAAGGGAAAAATTCTACCGTTCTGATAAGGAAAGTCACTATCTACATTTTAAGCCGAACGGAGATATTTAATAAAACGCGTTTACATTAGTTCCTTTTGTGTATTACATTTTTGGAAAAAAAACTCATCCTTCTTGGGGTAAAATGTCTCGAGGGGGTACTTACTGGTTTAAATAGTGTACCATTGACTACTGTTATTTTAGGGTATTACGACGACGTAATAAGGCATTATTACTCGCCTACTGGATATTACACGACTATTACACTACCGGAGTGAATACTCCCTCAGACACGCTCTATCGATCAGTACAAAAAAATTATAAATTTTAATTGTTTATATGGAAAACTATAGATTGTATGATTTTGCATGTGCGAAATCGTCGGAAAAACTGCTGTTTTGTAGACAGTGATTTTCTTCGTCAGTATTTCGACGCCTCCCATTCATATAATGCTTATTAAAAAACAAATGCAAGATCATTCTTATTCAGTTTTTAGTGCAAGACAATTCTTATTCGATTTTCCATGCAATAAAATGCTTATTCAAAATTGTATGCAAAACAATTGCCACTGACAGAACAATAAATGTAACCCTAAATCATCTTTTTAATATTAAATTGCAATTAAATATCTGAGAATATCAGTGCGTATCTATTGATTAGAAAATTTAATACTTGATTATCTCTTACGTATTAAGAAATATTGTTTAAGCAATTGTAATTAAAAATTATATTCAATTGAAAATTTTATAAAACTCATAGTGTAAGCTAATTTCAGATTGTACTTTTTAGCATAGAATTTTGAATAAGCATTTTATTGCACGGAAAATCGAATAAGAATTGTCTTGCACTAAAAACTGAATAAGAATGATCTTGCATTTGTTTTTCAATAAGCATTATATGAACGGGAGGCATCGATTTCACCAAAATCGATGTAGATAGGCCAATTAAGCATTAATTATCTTCAAAACTAATTAATATTTTTAATTATGGATTACACAATTAAATTCTAATTTTTATTACGAATCCAACATTATAAAAAACTCATTTTTCGTCAAAATATAGATAGTGACTTTCTTCGTCAGGACGGTAGAATTTTAGTTTCGATATATTTTAAATTATAGATCTTATTAGATTAGCCAGAATTCCATCTAATTTAACCGCAAAATTCTGGTTAATTTATTTAAAATGAAGCGTTAAATATAACATAACCTGAACTTTTTTTAGTAACACTTTAATCAATTAAAAGACTCCCCAAAGATTTCTTGAATGTTTCAAATTGATACGAAAACGGATCAAATTGATAGCAAAAATTCGTTGCAATTTGATACTTTCAAGTTAACAGTGCCAGAAAAATACAAATAAATAATTTAGTAAACCCTGTGACAAATATACTTTATAAGCTGTCTGAAATAAATTATATTTGGCTTAGATGAAACATTGTTCTACTGGTGCAGAATTAAAATGTTAAATATATATCCCCTAACTAGAATTCTTGTTATTCCAAGAAGAATTACTTTTTTTTAAAAATTTGATCTAAATTTAAAGTCTTTGCTTAATCAGAGAGACATTTACACAAATACAATTACGGAGAGCGTGTAGCCAGTTTGTTATAGGAGATCTCTGTGGTTTCTAAGATCCGCAGGATCCTTGCAGGCTTATGTACGTCTATATATATACCTTTCCCGCTTTCCGGCGGGATCGAGTGTGTCAGTAGGTCATTCTACGGTTGATTTTCTTGTTACAGGGACGCAGTGCCAAAGCAATGTTGTGGATTGGGCTCGCCTCCCGTTCGTTGGTCCATCCTCGGCGTTGGGATCGTGGGACTTGTCTGCGCAGGGGCTGGAGTGCTCCTAGGGGCTCTCAGGGCAACAGGTCGTGATCATTTCGCTGTTGCCTTACTCATGATCGGTAAGTGATCTATCGATTTTCCTTTCTCTTTATTACCAATCTTATCACCGAACGCGGCCGTACACCTAACAAGTGATCCAGGAGATTATTATTTAAATCTCTCCCTCGCAAAATTTACCTCTTCCTTCAAAGTAATTTATAGTCTTTTCTCCCAAAAAGGAAAGAAATGAAAATAAACCTTTTAAATTATTACGATTGAGGACCATCTAAAATAATATTATTGATTGGGAATGAAAATAGGTTCACAGAGAGCCTTGAATTGTTTAAAGCGGGAGGTGTGTCGGTTAATAATAAAAAAAAATAATAATAAAGTCTTCTCTCTTGTGAAATAAGAGAACATGAGTAGTAGAACAGATAGAGTAAAGTGGCTGGTTGTGCGTGACACGATTTAATGATGCCCACACGAATTATGTATTCTATATACCGGTGAAATCTTGCAGACCTTCAAATTATTTTTTCCCAAGCGAAATCTTCAAGTAAATAATGTCCAACAAAACAATTAGAGACTGTATTTTCACGATTTAAAAAATTTATCATTTATCCCATTGTCAACGTGCACAAAGGCGTGAGATTTTTATAGTATTTATTTATTTTTTTATTATTTAAAGGACCTCAAAAACAATGAATTGCATAAATCTATTGAAAGTTTTCTAATGTATTATTTAAAAATAATAACGCTGCGGCATGCATATTAGATATCTCTTCGTTACTCTTCGCGATTGGGAAATCTTGTAAAAAAATTTCATTCGTCATTCCAGTGGTAAAATAATTATTCAATTCTAATAATAATTTTATTTATATTGTTAAAATAAAACATTCATTTTATTTTAACACAACATAATAAATACTTCCTCCATGAGAAAGCAATATAATAAAAATAATAAATGTGATCGATTCTAATTCAAGTAATTAACGGTCAATTCAAGTATTTAATTTTATTTATGTTGTGATAACGAAACCGTTATTACTAGTGCGGAATTTCTAAAGATAAAAATTAGGTACTTAATGTATTTACGTAACTTTAAAAAAACAGTTAGAAATCATTATTTAAAAAAAAAACAGTTAAAAATCACTATTTTTAAAAATAATTTTAATTAATTATTTTTTGTCATAAAGATGAATTATATTTTTGAGAGAAAAATTATTTGGTACATAATTAAGAATAATTGAGCTGAAGAACGTAACGTTAAAACATTAACATTAAAAAAAATATTAATATTAATTCAAAGTAATATTAGTTTTGACTTGCATTTTTTTTCTGAAAGATGTAAAGAGATACGAATTATAAATTTTTTCGTTCATAAAATTTTCTCTTTGAATTTTTCTTTATTAATTATTCCTTTACATTACTCAGAACATTTTTGAGACTTTTTTTATCTACTGCGCTTTTTAATATATAAGGAGTGAACAAAAAATGAACTCTTTTTCTCTATAAGAGGTTATCTTTTGTCATCAGAAATATTACGAACATTAAACATTGATAATATTTAACAAAATGTCTTTGAACTATTAAAGTTAAACACTCACTTTTGGTCAATAATACCGAGAAAGTTGTTTTCTGAGGTACTTGTCACTTTGATGATGTTGAAAGAGCAATTATTATAAATGTGGAACTAAACTATGACTAATAACTATATTTTTTGCGATAATAATGTTTAACTGAACAACAACAAAATTTTAAAAAAAGTTTATTCACCGTAAGATTTTTTTAAAAACTAAAATTATTAAATTGAAATATTAAAAGTATTGAAAGAATGAAATTCAATTAATTCAAAAAATTACGAAGAATTAACAATTTTTTGTATAATTAAACAGTAATTTTAATAAATTAATGTAAAATTAAAATTTAATGGTAATGTAAATAAATTAATTAATTATTCATAATATATGTTCAAGTGCATATAAATTAATATGAATATTTACATAAATTATGCATATTAAGTATCTAAAGTTGTAATTTTACTCTCTGTATTTGAATTTAGAAAAAATGGTTAATTTGATAGAAAAAAGCACTTATCACCTAGTTAGGAATAATCAATTAGTTGTTAAATTTCTTTTTATGTAAAAGTATCTAAAATTTGGTAATTTCTTCTATTAATTAAATTTAATTATCATTCGGTTACTTTTTAGCAATAAAATTTAGTTAATTTTTTACTAATAATTATTTTATTTAATTGCAGGGATCACAGTTAATCCCCGTATTTTCCTCTTTTCTCCTTTTTTATACCCTCAAATTAATAAAATCCCCCAAAACACCCAAAATCGTGCAAATTCTTTTATTTTTTCTATTTTTAGACAAAACAAAAATTCCCATTTTTTGTACTCTCTAAAGCTAAATATAGTCACTTTCGATTCATTCAACAGCGCCGATTCATTTATTAAATGAATTAGTAACGGTACTAATTAAGGGAGACTGGGGTAAACCCGCTCACTTTTTTTCAGATCGGCTAAAATCTAGGAAATTATTCTCTAAATCCAAGTTAATTTATATCATTTGAAAGCTTATGATTTCTACTAAAAAAATAAAAAAGAGTTTTTGATTTATCTTTTTTAGTTTTACTTAGAGAAACTTTTTAATAAACATATACCAAATTTCGAAATCACAATTTTCCAGGGTAAACCCGCTCACTTTATCTTTTCAAGACGGAAAAGTTTTATTTTTTAAATATTAAAGTTCGTCTTATTCCCGTCTTAAGTATGATTTATTATTGATAATTTATAAGTTATATAAACAATTCTATAAACAAAAAATTGGTTTAATTAATAATGAACATAGATTTCATGAATTACAACTATGGATTTAAATAGTGTTTTATTTTATTAAGAGAAAGTGAAATGTATTTACAATTTTGGTTTTAATAAGTCATAAATTGTGTTATTGTTAAAATATAATACGTGAAATTATTTTATTCTAAATTTTAAATTTAAAACTAAGTGAGCGGCTTTACCCCGACTTCACGTGAGCGACTTTACCCCGAGTGTATTCCTCACATTTCAGAATAAATTTAATTAAATCTTTTTAAAATAAGACAAAACTATATATGTACTTCGATGAAGGACATCCAATAGCAACAAAAAAAATTTCCCAGATAAATTAAGACTCAAAAATAATGATCGAAAAACTTAAAAATCCAAAATACGTTTTTTTTCTGACACCTCTAAAAACATTTGATCGTCTCTGATTCTGTGTTGAATTCATGAAACTAAACAAAAGTTCGTTAATATAAGTTGAATGTTAAGTACTATTCACAGTACCAATATCTCCATCTTAAGTTGAGTTCATAGAGTAAAATCGCTAGTGAGCGGGTTTACCCTGTGAGCGGGTTTACCCCAGTCTCCCCTACTTTTTAGTTAAAAATTACTCATATTTATTAATTACTGTAATTTTTATATAGATTATATTACTCTCTAAATTTAAATTAGCAAAAATGTTTACAAGTTTGAATTGGTGACTGACTTTTTGCTTTAGAATTATTAAATTTTACTAATATATTAGTAGAAATTACTATTTATTAGTTAAATTTACTAATTCAAAAACAAAAAGTCAGTCGCTAATTTAAATTAGTAAACATTTTTACCAATTCAAATTTAGAGACTATAAATACCTAAAAAATTCGTGGATTGATATCTACCAAATATTTTAGTAATTTCTTTACAAATAATTAGTCATATTTGACTACTGAATTAGTTATTTTCTACTAATAATAATAACTGATTATTTTTATTAATTAGTTATTTTTTACTAATTGGAATAGGTCCAAGTCATTTACGATTTTACTGTTAATTAGTAGTTTTCTACTAATTCTGATTTGAAAATCAAAAAGTTAGAAAAATTTGTAATTGCATTGAAGAAAAAAGTTCCTACTTTTTGTAAAATAAGAATTTTTTTAATCTTATACATTTTTTTATACAAAAGCAACAAATGTAAAGTAACTTTCTCTACTTAAGAAGTAAAAATCCAACTATTTAGAATTTCTGTATTATTTTAAAAATAAATTTTACTAATTTTATTAAAATTCACTTTGGAAATAACAATTTTTCAAATAGAAAATTTTACTATTATCATACAGTTACTTTTTATATGCAAATTTTTTAAATTTTCTTCGAACGTAGAACAATTTGTAATTACATAGATATATCAATTTTTATTTTCTGAGTAAATCCTTCTGATGACACTAGAAATAATTTTTAATAATTGACCTACGTTCGAAGAAAATTAAAAAATTCTGATTTAAAAAAGGAGCAAGAAAAAACTAAAAAATCTTCAAAAAAAATTATTTACGCTGTAATAAGATTATTAATTAAGATTTACCTTATTTGAAAAATACCGTTTTTTAAAATCTGAATCCCCTTTTTTAAAAAATTAAAGTTCCTTTTTTACCTAATGTTACATGAAAAAATGACTGTGATTCTTATAATTGTTGTTGTATTAAATTATATTTTTGTATTATTTAATTTAATATTTTATTTTATTATTTATTAATTATTATTGCAATTTTTGTGATTTCATTTTATAATTAGTTATTTTTTTATAATAATTACACTTATTACTATTTACGAATTGCTAAAACAAAAAGCTCGTAAAGACTTTACTAGCAATTAGTTATTCTTAACCGATTTACCTAAATTTAGAGAGTTTTTCCTGTAAAGATACAATATTATTTATCTGTAACTAATTCAAAAAAAAAAAAGAATACATCGTTTTTTACTTAAAGGTTAAATAGAACAACAATCAACTCTCAGTAAGAGACATAATCATTGACCACGTCCTTCAATTCATTTAGATTAAATTGTTTTGTATTAAAAGAATTGTACCCATTCAATCTGGTTTTTATTCCTAAAGGCGGGTCTCCACTATTGCAAATAAAAAAAATTATTTAAAATATGCAAAAGATCTGCAAAGTATATAGTATTCAATATGCATACAAACGCATTTAAATATTAATCTAGAAACTCGTAAATATAGATAATATTATGTTATTATTTTTTTGCTATTTGTT